CAGAAAAATGCACATGTAGCTACTGACACGGGTGTTTGTTTAATGAGTTGGAGGATTCATGGATCTTTTGAAGCCCCACCTATGAGCCCCAGGTTAAGAATCCCTAGAAGGCCCCGGTGTGGTGGCTCAGGCTATAATCCCAGCACTTTGGGAGATAGAGCCAGCTGGATCACCTGAGGTCAGGAGTTCGAGACCATGGTGAAACTCCACCGCTACTAAAGATACAAAAATTAGCCGGGTGGGGTGGAGGGTGCCTATAATCCCAGCTACTCGGAGAATCCCTTGAACCTGGGAGGCGAAGGCTGCAGTGAGCCGAGATCATGCCATTGTGCTTCAGCCTGGGAAACAAGCGCGAAACTCCATCTCAAAAAATAATAAATAAATAAATAAAATCCCTAGAAAACTGAAATCATAGTTGAAGAGACAAACCCACCACAACAGCTGTATAGCTGTACTCCCAGAAATTTCCTTCATCTTGCTCTGCCTCCCACCTCCATCCCTGATGTTTTCAAAAAGGTCTGGGATGTGCTTCTTGCCCTTGCAATAAAGACGTCGTAGCAGCATAGATGCAAGTCCTTTTCTTGTGAAGCCCTCCTTCAATCAATTAATACATCGTTACTGTCTTCCTACTACAGCCTAAGCACTGGACTGGGCGCCGAGGGCACAGTGCAAACAAGATAGTCATGGTGTCTGCAGAGCTAGAGTGTATATGAACAGATGTTCATTTGTTCATTCCTTCATTTGTTCGTTCCATAAACTGAGCACCTGCTAAATGTCAGTCTGTGCTGGATTCTGGCTGAGTATCCATGGATCACAAATCAGCATGACAAGTGCTAAGAGAGAAAGGCATTCAGTGCTCTGGGGGTACTGAATCGATCCAGGCTTGAGAATCAATCAGGGAAGGCCTCCTGGAGGAAGAGACATCTAAATTGAGACTGAAGGTAAGTAGGATAAGCTAGATGGGAGGATATAGTTATGTGAGAGAAGGATAAGATCCTGTATGAGCTAGCAGAGGACAGCTCCACGTTTGAGGTAATGTCTTTGTGACCCTGTACATCTCCACAGGCTGGCAGTGAGACCTGGGAATCCAGACCTTGGAGCCTCCCCTCTTCCCCACCAGCTGACTTTGCATGGGACAACAAGGACTGTGCCTGAGACCAGACATGCTTCCCACAGCCAGTCTAGAGGCCCTGAGTTTCTAGCAAGACAGAAGCATTACCTTGGGTGTGTAAGAGCTCCCTGCTGAGCTGCAAGTCTTCTTAGGTAGGCGGCTTAGTACCTTCTGTGCTCATCAGGCCAGCAGGATATGAATTGTTGAGTAAGGGAGGAGAAGGAGGAGTGGGAGGAGGAACAGGGAGAAAACGATCGGGGCTAGAAAAAGAAGGGGACTAGGAAGGGGACCGGAAAGTGAGTGGAGACTGGTGACTGTTTTTGCATATTCACAACTTTGGCCACAGGCTGGCCTGGGTCCCTGGGATCAGTCCAAGCTCTCCGGAACGGCATATCTTTTGCCCTTGTTATAGCTGGCTTCCTGCCAGACACTGGTGGTTTCCAACAGTTAAGATTGTTCCAGAGGTAGTCTTGACTCCTGTGGGAATTACCAGAGTATTCTAGCACTGCTGTGAATCCGCAATAATTTACATAATTTCCCCTGGGCTTGCCTACACTCTTTTCCTTTATATTTATTTTCATCCTCCACCCTACCATGAGAGTTCAAGTCCTCCCAACCAAAGGACCAGGAAAGTGATGGAACAGAATAGTCAAGGTATTGCCCTGTGTAATTGCTTTCTTTCATTTTCATCTCCCCCATGTGCATGCTTGGGGAGAGTGACTAGGTGCATCCTCATGGCTTATGCCTTAGGTTAACCTCCCTTCTTGATGAAGCAGGGGAACCAGAACAAGAGGAGTAACGTTTGGCAGAGGGTTGAATCAGTGAAAAGGAAAAGCTAGTTGCAAATGGGTTAACTGATCAGCTTAGGGCATGCTGGTTTCCTGCATCTGACTGAAAGTAACACCATCAATGACAACAAGAATCCAACAAGAAGTTACTGAAACAAGAAGAAAACTTTGGCATCTCATGTAACAAGAAGTCATGAGTTATATCAGTTTCAGATTGGTTCATTCCAGTGGTTTCAGGACATGATCAAGGAATCAGGGTTTTTTTTGTTTTTGTTTCTTCTTCAGAAACAGTGGGGGAAAGAAATGTTTTCTCCCTTTATTTGGAAAATAAACTTTCCCAGCAGACTTTCCCTCATATCTCATTGGCCAGAATTGTGTCATGTGCCTATGCTGGATCCAATGACAGGCAAGGGGAATGGAAATTCCATGGTTTATTTCAACCAATCAAGACTCACTCCTAGGGGCTGGAAAGTACTGTATACAGCATCCTCTGAAGCACATGATTAGGATTCTGTGGGCAAGGGAGAACAAGCCAGATAGCTGTGTCTGCCATATGTTTAAAAGCACTTTGGACATCTCTACCTCCCTTCTGCTTCTCCGCCATTCAAAATTACATGAACTTTTCACATCCTAACTCAAAGGTCACCTTCTCCACAAAGTTTTCCCTTATACCTTAAATCAGAATTAATTACTTCTTCATCAATATGCCCAGAGCCTTTGTATCTCACACACTTTTCACAGTTAGCTTTATATTAATTTTTCTTCCCTCCTAATTCTGAATTCCTTGAGAGGAATGATCAGAAATCCAGAGCCTAGCATATTTACTGCCTTCTGGCAGAAGTTGATCGCCATAAGACAGATTTGCTGTGAGGTCAGGACAGTATTCTTTTGGCTCACCGCTGTATACTCAACCTAGTATAGTACCTGGCTCACAATAGGTGTCCCCAAATATCTTCAAAGAATGATAAAATAATAATAGCTGCCGACTTCTGCTTCTGGTCAAGCATATCTGCCTTTACTGCTTTTGTCATTAGCCTGAATAGAATAGAATGAAGGAGGGACTGGATTTATCCTCCCATTTGAAACAAACAAACAAAATATATGAAACAACAGTTTTCAAGACACTGGACATTGGGCATTGAACGACATTGGAAACAAATTAGTTGAGTCCTAGGATCACCCCAGAATTACCTTGGCAGAGTTGCCAGGCCACCAAGCAGAAAGCGAGAACTCAGATGGATCCTGGCAGCCTCCTTAAGTTGAAAAGACAGCGGTGAGTGTCCAGAGAGATCAAGTCAGCCGTGGTTCTTAAGAGAGTACTGGAGAGAAGATGGCTGCACAGAGAGAGAATCTCAAAGCTCCACAGAGGATCTCCTTGGCCAACAGCAAGTGGTGAACAGTGCATGCATGTGAGGCTGAGGAATGAGCCATCTGAAAGGATTAGAAGGAACAGTGGGTGCCAGCCATGGTACCTGTCCCCACCGGTCAGACTGAAAAAACTCATCAGTCGTGGGGCACTGGGTACTTAGTAAGGCCTTCCCTCAGTGGTGGGGAATAAGTAACCCTAGACTGAGCACTCCTCCAGAAAATGCCTCTCAAAGCACAAAGGCAGACCTGAAAAGCTCAAGAAAACTTACAGAAATAAATTTTAAAAATCAAGCACCCAACAAGGTGAATGAAATTCACAATTTTTATACTCCAATCAAAGACACAACAAGGCAGGAAGACACAATGAAGAGGGTAATCAGTCTGTAAAAGCTGACCCAGAACTGACACAGATATTAGAATTAACGGAGAAGAACATTAAAACAATTATTGTAATTGAATTAAATGTTTTAAAAGTTCAGAAGAGCCAGGGAAGATACAAAAAAGACACAGATTGAAAACCTAGATATCAAAACTGTGAAATCTGGGATGAAAAATATACCATATAAGATTAGCAGAAGGTTAGATATTGCAGAACACAATATGTTTTCACTAATTTAATACTTTATTGAATAAATACAATAGCAATAATACATTCAAACGCTTTCTAAAAAATCAATTTTAAAGGCCTTTCTATTCAGGCTAATGACAAATGCAGTAAAGGCAGATATGCTTGTTTAACATAATTGGCTTATTTTATGTAGCATTTTTATCTTTTAGTCCACAAGTATATTATTAAATGATAGAGAACATCCAATGCAACCATTTCCATAGGACTAGGAAATAAATTTCTAAGAAGGAAAGATGTTACAGAACCCATCTTTTATGTCTACTCTCACAGTCTAAAGAAGATAAAAAACCAATGACTTTCTTCACAAGAGCTCATGACTAATGTCACTGCTAGCAAACTCTGTCTCTCATCCATTTTGAGCATTAAGATTCAAATATTGCCAAAGGAAGAAGCACAATGCACATTGTGATCACTTATTCAGCAGCAGCCAGCACTGCACCCAAAACTATCTTACTTAGGAATTAAATAAGGTCAGCCACATGCATGAGCATCTCCTCCACTGAAGTATCCTAGAAAGTCTCATTGTAATGAACAATTTTCTTGTCTTCTTCAGCAACAGTTTATATCTGCACCTTTCCTCCCAAGCCCACCCCCTCTGCCAATTCACCTCTCTCTTTATTCTAATCGTGTACTGTTTCACTTATGATTCCATGTTCTAAATTACGTCGATGGCATTTCTGAGTGCCACCTTGCCATCAACTGCTACTGTTGACTCCTGTGAGAATAGTTTTCACAATTAGTGGGCACAGCATAGTTTGTAACCAAAGTTACTCATCGCTCATCAATCACACGAGCCGACAAATCAGTAGTGACCAGAACACATCTTGACCCTGATCAGAAGTCCCTCATGCAAACATCTCTTTCCTGCTAGTCCATATCATCATGCAGAGCAGAAACTGTGAAGTCCCTGGTGTGCGTTTTCTCAGTGAGCCAGCTCACCTTGCATCTTGCCCTGGGAAAAGTCACAGCCTGTGTAATGGTCAGTGTCTTGTAGAAGTCAGAAAGTGTATCTAACTCTCATTCCTACAGTATTTCAAAGAGAAAGGTAATAGTCATTTAGTTTTCAACTTCCTTTTGTTAAATATTCATTTTGTTAGATCTGCTGATATATTGCACCAAATATTAAGACAAAGGTCACTGGACATTTAGAAAGAAGTCCCCCAGTCTTTACAATTAGAAGAAAATATTAATGAACTTGGAGGGATAGCAATAGAAACTGGCCTAAGTAAAAGACTCAGAGAAGAATGAATTGTAAAAATTAAAGAGCATTAGTTATCTCTGCAACACACTTACATTTCTGTCTTCCTTGAGCTGCTGTGCCCACCACAGGAGGAAGGGGCTGAAGATGTGTTGGTTGGTAGGGTCTCCAGGGAGGTAGAGCTATCCCGCTGAACCCAGGAAGTGGGATATGCCACCTGGAATTATATATATAATTCGAGCCTGTGAAGGGGAAGCAATCAATATATATATTTGAAAAAATGATGCCAAAAATTTCCAAACTTTATGAAAATTATAATCCGCAGATGCAAGAAGCTCAGTAAACTCCAAGCTCAAGAAATGTGAAGAAAACTCCACTAAGGCATCTAATAATCAAATTGCTTAAAACCAGTGATAAAGACAAGATCTTAAAAGCAGCCAGAGAAAAATGATAAGTTAGGAGACTATTGTCAGCATAACAAAGATAGCAACTGTGATGCCTTAGAGCAAGTTATCTTGATTTCTGGGGCTGCGGACTGAATTGTGCCGTCCCAGGTTTCATATGTTGAAGTAGTAACACTACCTCCCCTCTGCCCCATGTGACTGTATTTGGAGACAGTCTTTAGGAAGTAACTAAGGTTAAACGAGTGGGCACGACAGCTCATGCCTGTAATCCCAGCACTTTGGGAGGCTGAGGCAGGAGGATCACTTGAGCCCAGGAGTCGGAGACCAGCCTGGGCAACATGGAGAAGCCCTGTTTCTACAAAAAACACAAAAAATTAGCCAGGCATGGTGGTGCACACCTCTGGTCCCCGTTAGTCGCCAGGCTGAGGTGGGAGGATTGTTTGAGCCTGGGAGGTTGAGGCTGCAGTGAGCCATGAGCATGCCACCGTAATGTAGCCTGAGTGACAGAGCAAGACCCTGTCTCGAAAGAAAAAAGGAAGGTCAAATGTGGGGCCAGCCATAGTCTGATAGGACTGGTGTCCCTATAAGAGAAAGAGAGAGGTCCTTGGAATGTACGCACCAAGGAAAGGTCATGTGAGCATGTGAGGAAATTGTGAGAAAGTGAGAAAGCGGCTATCTGCAAACCAGGAAGAGAACCTTCACCAAAAGCCAACCACGTTGGCACCCTAATCTCAAACTTCCAGCCTCCAGAACTGTGAGAAAATACATTTCTGCTGTTTAAGCCACCCCACCTGTGGTATTTTGGTATGCCAGCCAGAGCAGATGAATATACCTGGTAATTATATTTCATAGTTGTCCATGGCCCTGGTACACCCAGGTTATGTGTAGATGGAGAAGGGGATACCAGTTGAAAGGGAGGGAGCCTAAAAATGCAAGAAAGAGAGGGTAACTGATAAAGCACTGTCCTAGATCAATACAGCCCTTTGGAAATGAAAAGAAAACTAGGGACTCTCACCTAAAAATTGACATAAAGATTCTGCATTGCTTTCTGAAGTTTCATGGGTCACCCTTCTCGGGGGTAGAGGAGCTTTAACGCTTCCCTGGCTCTGTATGGGCTGGAAAGATGAAGCCCCTGCCATCCACAGAGCTCAGGGTTACCAGTGGGATCAGACAGGTGGGTTCTGCTACCTGTAATCCTTAGTGACTCCCGGATGAGCCGACGTTACCAAGTCTCCTGTACAGGGTGCTGCAACAGCTGATGATGACTTCATCAACAAAAAGTACTAGAAATATGCTCAGGGTTGTTGTGGTTAAGCCAAAGGATTTTAAATTTTTTAAATGCTGTACTCTACAGAAAAGATTTTTTTCACCCCTTTGAAAATTGTACAAGTGATACATGTTCCTATGGAATAACTCTAAAACATAGATAAACAACAAATGAAAATCACCCCAGATCCTACCATCTGAAAATAACCTCTTTCAGCATCTTGTGTATCAGACCCAACTCATTCATATGCAAATGTATAAATATATGTTTTATGAAAATGGTATCATATTACATACATTGTTCTGCAACCTGCTTCCCATTCCGCCTACAATTCATCAGTATATTGTGAACATTTCAAGTCCAGTCAATATTCATCTGCACCAGAATTCTTTTTTTTGTTTTTTTGTTCATTTCTTTCTTTTTTTTGAGATGGAGTCTCGTTCTGTTGCCAGGCTGGAGTGCAGTGGCCCAGTCTTGGCTCACTGCAACCTCCAACTCCTGGTTTCAAGCAATTCCCTTGCCTCAGCCTCCCAAGTAGCTGGGACTACAGGCGTGCACCACCATGCCAGGCTAATTTTTTGTATTTTAGTAGAGGCGGGGTTTCACCAGGTTGGCCAGGATGGTCTTGATCTCCTGACCTCATGATCTGCCTGCCTCAACCTCTCAAAGCCGGCTTCAGGCTCCAGGGAGAATGTTGTGCCTCCTCCTTGTGGTGTCCTGTGCTCTGCATGTTCAGAGAAACTTCTTTAGCAATGGACGATAGGAATGATCCCTGGAAGTCTTTAGATCAGCTTTCTTAATTGCTGCAAGGTATTGCACCATTCCTCAACTGCTGGATGTTTAAACTGTATTTGTTATCAGATATCTATTGACACGCTAATCCCTTGTTATGAGCAATCTCAGTGACTTCATTGGTGTTCAAGAATAAACTATGTAGTTTACAAGTGTGCAGGGTCTTAGCTGACCTGGGCTCAGCTTGGCAGATCTCTGCTGGGCTGGGCTGTCTCATGCCTCTGCAGTCAGCTGCTGTTGGCTGGGCAGTCTTCCTCATTTTGACGTGCTCACTCACAAGCTTGGGACTGGTTGGCTATTGGCTCTACTAGGATGGCCACAAGTGGGATAACAAGAAGAATTTGGCTGTCCCAGGTGAGTTATACTCCAGGAGGCTAGCCCAGGCATGTGCTCATGATCACTCAGGAGAGGAAGGCCTAAGCAGAAATATGCAAGTGCTTTTATAAAGATCTGCTGTGTCACATTTGCTCACATCCTGTTGACCGAAGCAAGCCATGTGCTAGTGACAGAGTGGACTTATGGGGCAAACAGTGTGAACACAGGAGGGGTGAAGAATGATGTATTAGGGTTCTCTAGAGAAACAGAACTATTAGAATAGATGTATATATGAAAGGGAGTGTATTAAGGATTATTGACTCACACGATCACAAGGTAAAGTCCACAGTAGACCTTCTGCAAGCTGAGGAGCAAGGAAGCCAGTCTGAGTCCCCCAGCCTCAAAAGTAGGGAAGCTGACAGTGCAGACTTCAGTCAGTGGCTGAAGGCCCCAGAGCCCCTGTGAAACCACTGGTATAGGTCCAGGAGTCCAGAAGCTGCAGGACTTGGAGTTCGGTGTTCAAGGGCAGGAAGCATCCAGCACAGGAAAAAGATGAGGGCCAGGAGACTCAGCAAGTCTAGTCCTTCCGTGTTCTTCTGCCTGCTTTTATTCTAGCAGCTTTTCCTCCCAGACAGAAGGATGAGTTGAATTTCCCTAAGGGAAGGCATTCAGCTGAGATTGGAAGGGAAAGAAACTAGAATATGTAGTCCCAAAATATGCCGCTTTAACATAAATATTTTTGAGCAAAAGGCAATTAAGAAGCAGCAAACAGAGGAAAAGCTCTTTCTAGCCTCTCTCGCTTTTCCACCTGAAGACAGGATGTAAATTCTTCTTTACTGGGAACAGCTGTTATCCACTCAGATATAGCACGGGAGTCATCTGCAAACAAACCCTACTCCATTACTTTACTTCCATGTATTTGCCTTCCCCTAGTTTCCCACCTCTGGAAATCTACAACTGCTTTCCTTTGTCTTGTCATTTCTCTAAAATTTACTGTTCTTTGTTGAAGATGTTGTATAAGCCAGAGTTCTAAGCCACTTCTTGGAGTGACCTTTGTGAACAGAAAATTCCACGGCCTGCAAAATTGATTATGCCAAAGGGAAAAGTTAAGCTTTGGAAATGGAGTCATGTACCATGGTTGTTTTTCTTCTCTGATGCATGTCTGTTTCTCTCTGACTTTTGTGTTGAGAGTTATATTTTGCCAGACTTTCTGTTCTTCTTTCAAACCTAGACTAAATGACTTCGGAGACAGAGTCCCTTGTGACTGTGACCTCTTCTCTACAGAATGTTAAGCAAACTCCTTAAAGTGTTTGAGTGTAGCCAGTCAATCTTATATCTGTATGTTAGCCTTTGGGTGGAAAATGTTTTAATTCTGTTCAGTGCCTCCAGTTTTGTCTGTACAAATGATCTTCACTTTTCCCTACACTGAGAACAGCGGTCACTGTTCCTCAGTGTCCATGTGTCCTGGGATGGCCACCTTCACACTTTGTACTTAACTCACTTGAACTGGATCTTGAGCTTTGTAGTTCTTCTCCTGTGTGTGATGTGCACTGCACATGTTAATAAACTTGCTTGTTTTCCCCTTGTTAATCTGTTGCTAACAGGAGTCTGTCCCAACTATAAATTTATGAGGGTTAAAGAGAGATTATATTTCCTCCCAGACAGACAGATGAGTTGAATTTCCCTAGAGGAAGGCATTCCTAGGGCAGGACGAGCATGTGCAAGGACTGTGATAGAAGGAAGCAGGTGCAGACAGGGATGGGAAGGCTCCTGCCGCTGCAGTGGAGAGAGTCCAGGGAAGCTGGGGTGAGATCACATTGGAGAGGTACAAGGTAAAGGACACTGGGCATGCCTCCCCAGCAGTACCTACACCCTTCTTCCTTCCAAAGGAACACTTGTTTTGTTCAGGAATCCATACGTCCCCCAACACATCTTTCTGCATCAGGAGATGCTAACTTCACTGCCAGTTCCAGGTAGTTATCCCTCTCCCAGTGTATTAGTCCATTTTCACCTGCTGATAAAGACATACACGAGACTGGGTAATTTATAAAGGAAAAAAGGTTTGATGGACTCACAGTTTCACATGGCTGAGGAGGCCTCACAATCATGGTGGAAGAGCAAGGGATGTCTTCTTACATGGTGGCAGGCAAGAGAAGAGCTTGTGCAAGGGAACTCTCCTTTATAAAACTATCAGATCTCATGAGACTTATTCACTATCAAGAGAACAGCATGGGAAATACCT